GGGTCGTGTCTGAAGCTTGAACAAGGGCTGACCATATATATTTTAGTGATATACAATAGCTGAAGGTGCCTGAGACTACATATTAAGGCTGGTATTGAATATCATATCTCAAACCTTTAGTTTTAGTTAATTTGCTGGTCTAACCCTTGAAACTGAGCATAATATGTTATAACCATGTTATACCTTGATTGTTTATTGTCTGAGCATGCTTAACATGTTGATTTAAGATTATCTAAGTTGAGGTTCGGACTGAGGAATGACTTGCTCTATTTTAGTACTGTGAACCGTACTAGCCTCAACATTATAGCAGTTTTGGAAATCTGGTTTGGGTATGAAAATGAGATATATCGCTGTTATAGATGTGCTATTCAACTGAGCATGTTTATATAGTTAAAATACATTTGAGTGAGTCAAAATCCAGAGGTTGATAGTGTTGAAATACTAAGATTACCCTCAGAACAGTGCTGCTGCAGAATTTGTCTTGTGAAACCTACTTTGCATTGTGATTTGTTATTTAAGTGCTGTAAAATGGAAAGTGGAAATTGAGGCATGCTATATATGTTAATAGAAAATTGTTAGAACTGAGAACAAGGAGGTCCGGTCACGAATTAATTATTTTAGCCCTCAAAACAGAAAGCTTAAGGTGCAGCTAAAAACACCTGCTGTGAGCTGTGTTTTGCTGTTTTGTTAATTGTTGTGTTTAGCCTTTATTTGTATATCTTGTCCCAACTTTAAATCAAATGTGATACATCATTTTGAAGCCGAGGGAGCCATTCGTTGAAGAGAGTTTAAATTAACACAAGGTAGTGCTTTGTAATTGCTGGAAAACAATACTATAACCTTCAAGTTGCTGCTGTGACCTTGTATTGCATATATGTTGTTGTTCTACTGATTCTAATCATTTGAGAAAGTGTATTTAGCCTATTAAAGTCTGGGGGAGTGAAGTTTGAGCCCTAATTGAAGCTTCATTGTGAAGAGACCATTCTACCATTGAATTTGTGAATTAAGCCTTTTGTGAAGTGACATTGTGATACCTTGCTTCAATCACTGTGAATCTTACTGAGCTGGGTTGTATAAAGATATCAAGGCTGTGAATGACAAGTGCAGGTCAGTTCTGAAGCTGCAGAGTGAAGTTACTTCTTTACCCTTGGTTTTAGGGTTTTGTTCAATTGTACATTAAATCTATCTACCTTGCTAAGCTTATTGAGGAAGACATTTGTGCAAGTGTATATTGGCTATACAGAGCTATGGAAGTCCATTGCAGGCCATTCTTAGAGCTGCATTGTGAAGTCATATTTATACCCATGAAATTAGGGATTTAGCCTTTTGGGAGCAAACATTGTTCTACCTTACTTATCTACTTGTGTACATCATTCAAACAAGTGTATTTGACTGTGTCAAGGCTGTGGGAACCTAGTTTGATCATCAAGTGAAGCTGCACAGTGATTTGACATATCTACCCCTCTTGTTGCAGAAAAGTGAAGCTAGGGTTTCTTGTATTGCTTAGGCTGTATATTCATTCTTATCTTGTGTTCCAGCTTAAGTGTATTGTATTTGGTGTATTGGCACCTTATTGTATATGGTAGTGAGGCTTTACATCCTCACCCCATTGTTGATTAAGCTATTGAAAGCTTCGTGTATCCAAGCATAGGGGCTGTGGACTGGGGGAGTGCCAGTGTGCACATTGTTTGATCTTTTATGTGTGTAGGTGGAGTGAAAGTCAGTGTCCTAGTGAGTACAAGGTGGTTGGAAAGTGGGGCAGCTGAGTGAGTAACTGCTTGCATGTAGCAAGTGAAGATGGTGAGCTAGTGTGTGTGTATTGGTTGTGAAAGCTACTGTCTATTCTGGTGCTAGAGAGTGAGACAACTGAGTGTGTAACAAGATACATACAACTAGCGGAGGCTTTTATTGGCTGAGGCCAAGAACCAAGGTTTTTCCCTATTGATAGGGTTTCCATGTATATCTTGTGTCCATGTGATTTGATTGATTGTCTTGAGTTTTTATCTTCTATGTTAAACATGCTCAAGTGAAAAAGGAAGAAACTACCTAGGACCAATTCAACCCCCCCTTCTTGGTCCAACAAAGGCTCCATAGGGGAAAAAGGTACATTGAGAGGAAGTATCATGTCCTACATAATATTGTCCGGCAAGAAAATATACTCGTGGCTTAGAATATTGCATCGGAACACAACTTTGTTGCTTCATTCACAAAGATGCCATCGATCAATAATTTTGATCGTCACTTGGATAACAAGGGAGTTAGATGCGATTCGAATTGGCTATGAGGGCAAGTGGGAGATTGTTGGTATTTGTATGTCCTGGCATAGCGATTTTCTATTTGGATTAAAGTGACATATGTTCCTAACAAATCTGAAATATTTATGCGTTATACAATTGGTGAATTCAATGTATTATGGTTCAATTCATTATAGAATTGATAGTGTCCACTTGATTACAATAGATATTTATATGTATGTGATGGCGATCAATACATGAACATAAATAGGAATCATAAATAATTCATAGCCGATAATTATGGATGGACTCTTAAATAACTAAAACTTGAACCGGATCCGCGTTAGGTTGAGATATATTGCGAGAGCCGTCGTATGCAATTGCTTCCTATTATTGTCATGGCATTTGACTTTTAAGTATGAGAGAAATATAGACTTTTTCATTAATTAGTAATTACTTTAATTTGTTCCGCGGATTCTTCGGAGTCCAAAGACCGACACTTTAGGTAATTATGTAATTAATATTTACAGGGTTATATTATCAATATTTGCATCATTATTACTTGTATTTATTTTGTATTGATTATGGTTGATCACAAAATAAAATCGAAGACCTTCATGTACTTTAGACAAAATGATTTTATATGTATTTATTTACTAAATTATTATTTTTGTCAAAACAAATTTTTATTGTGATCAAGTCGGAAATAATCAAAGGTACCAAAATAAATATATTAATTTAGTAGTCGGATTAATGACTTTATTTATCCGATAACTAATTAAGCATAGAGGGGTAAAAATGCAACATTGACTTAGATGTTATTTATTATTTAATTGGAGTTCAATTAATTTCTTTTAATGTAGTAGAAATTGATTTATGAATTAATTAAATTGGGTTCGGTATAATGGACTAGACCAATTATTAATTCATTGTAGCCAAGAAATAGTAAGCCCAATGGATTCTCACCCATAGCCCAACTTGATATTGGAGGCACATTAAATTTTGAACTATTACGTGAATTTTAGAGATAGAGAAAAATATATTGTCTCCCATTTTTATTTTTATTTTGCCTATATATACATGGGTCCGTATATATTTTAGATTACGCCTTTGTATATTAATTTTTTGGAAGACAAGATAACATTTTTTCTTTCTAAGATTTCAGGGTTAGTGTTTTCATCTAATGGAGGCTCCCACAAGCTTAGCTCTCCAAAGTCATTCATGGAGGTTTATGGGTGATTTTTAAAGACAAGATCATATAGCTAAGGGATATATACAATAAGTGAGAATATTCACTTTAGATGAGAGATTTAAGTTTTACTCAAATCTTGATGCAAGTTTACTAACTCTAAGTGAATGGATTATCATATTCTTCATGCATAAAACTTGTCTCTACACATTAATCAAGATCTTTATTTGAAAATCCCTCTAAATGTTTTTAAAACTTCCATTTCCCCAACCGTTCAAACTCTCATTATCCACTTTGAAAGGTAGAGAAGATATGATTAGATCACAAGACCCTTAATACGAGGGAGTTAATATTTGATAAGTAAATTTAAATTACAACATATAATTAATTTTTTTTGGCAAGTTTCACTTATGCTATGTTTGGTTGGATGGAAGGATTGAAGGGGAATGGATGAGAGGAGGGATGGATAAATATTTTTGTGTTTGGTTGGAGGGAAGGGAAGAGAGGGAGGAAACAAGGAGGGATGCTTCATTCCTCATTCCTTTATGTTTTTCTATCCCCCACTTTTGGGGGAAGAGAGGAGAAAAAGAAGGCATAAATATCTATAAATTTATAATTTACTATTTTAACATTTTCAAAAATTTTGAAATAAATATCTACCTTTTATAATGTTATATAAAAGGGTGCATTGGTAAAAATAATATAACAACTCTCCTTCCCTTCCAACCAAATAAAAAAAAAAGTATCACTCCATTCATCCTTTCTACCATCCATTCCATTCAACCAAACATAAAATGGGAAAGACACCCTCCATTCCCTAAAGATATCTCATCCATCCCTTCCCATATCTCTCCTATTTATTTTTCCATCCTTCCAACCAAACGAAGCATTATAGTATAGCACTAAAATGGATAATCCTACACACGTGAATGATACTATTTAAATGATTTCATCACTCTATTAGCTTCTTGAGGACACCATAAACATATAAATGTACTGGGAATGTAAAGAGCTTTCACCTAAATCTTGTAAATGTACTAGAAATCACATTATTAAAATGATTTGTTTTTAATTTTTAATATTAAAGAATGTCACAGTTTTATCACCTAACGCGACTCTTCCACTCACCAACATAATAACATTTTCACAACGAAACTATTATTTTTTTCCCTTTAAAGAATTGTTCACTTTTATCATTCACCATGATGGAAAGAATCAGTAGTTTCCTATCATAGTACAAAGAAAGTCTGTTGAATTAATATTGATCGAATCCCTTAATTTCATGTATCATACAATAATTAAACAATATTAAAAAAAAAAACATTTAATATTGAACAATATTTTCTGAAAATAAGAAGCTTGGACTGAGAATGGTTGCTTGGATTGGAGGAGAGGGGGGAGGGTGAATTAATATTATTGCAAGAGTGTTAACAAATTAGTAAGAAAGGAAGCCAGTGTAATTAAGACAAACATCACGGTGTGATAATAATTTAACCAAACTTAACCCTTACCTAGAATTTTCTAATTTTAATTAAAATAATATATATATTTTGAGGAACAAAAACCTTTTAGAAAAAAAAAAAGAAAAGGAAAAAAAATAAGAAGAAAGAAAGAAATAAGAGGGTGAAAATTGTGGAAGGCGCTCAAATCTTTTGCAAGAAAGAAAGAAAGAAAGAATGACGGAAGGGGAGATGGGCATTCCACAATTGGAATAATCAAGCAGTTGACGATGAAAGAGAGCAAGAAGAAGAAGACGAAGAGATTGACGGAGGAGGAAAGTCCAACTCCTAGGGTAATGGATCCCAAAATAGAACAAGGAAAGCATCTCAGGGTTGGTGTTTTGCTTTCATTTCCCTATTTGAAATACTACATTTAATTTCAACCATCTCTCTTCTCAATTGTCCATCCTGTTTCTTCAATCATTCCGTACCATTCTTGTATAAAAAACACACACACACACCCACCCACCCACCCACCCACATATCTTTTATTTGTTCATATACGTAATGGGTTTTTACACCAGGTTCAACAATATATTTATATATGTTTCATGCATCAATCAAGTTGGTATGTATTAAAATTGAATATTTACCGATAAACTGTTTGTTAAATTTTATTCTAGAGTGTTTAGAAATTTAATTGTGATACTCTTACTATGGTTGTGGACTGATGCTTTTGCTTGCCATATTGTTAATCATGGGAAGGATGACATATCAGTTATTTAAAAAATGTTGCCTTCTAAGCTATTTCCATGTGAAATTGCTATTTCCTACAAATTTTTTCTTTATGATGTTTATGCCTGTATCATCACTATGAACACACACACTTTCAGGGGAAAGTGGAGCAAGTTGTTGGGTCTATGATTCTTAATTTAGAGGATGATGATGGGTCAACTGGAGTAACCAATTTTGGTTTGGATTACGCACTTGGAGCGGATCCTTTGAGCAATTCTGCAGCCATTCGAGCGTTGCGTGCCAATCCTGGTAGGCCAGCGGTTCTCTCTCTCTCTCTATTTTTTCCTCAGTAGAAAGTGGTTCTGTCACTTGATACCGTGTTCATTGCGTTTTAGGAATTGCCAATATGTTGTGTGATTTACAGAAGCTAAAATTTAATTAATTGTTTGCCTTGTAGATGCAAAAAATTATAATTAATTAACTGAACACTAAACACTACTTTTATGTAAATTTATTTGGGAACAGAAAAAGAGGGCAAACTTAATTATTTTATTTTATTTTTTTGTTGCTTTTTTACCCTTTCTCAAATTTAATAAGTTGCAACCAGATCCGGCATAACTTGGCTATATACACAAAATGGTACAAGATGATTATATTGTCCCAAAAATAGTAGTTCCTGCTGGTCTTATACATCTTCAGACACGCACACACATCTAAGGTTAACTATAATTCTGATGCTCATTAATTTGGGAATGCAGAAAGGGTGAAAAGGAGAACAAAATCAAAACACAAGGTTGCATATGGTGAAGAATGCAAGAGGGATCAAAATGAGAAGAACAAAACCAAAACAAATAATGATGCTTTGATTAATCCTGATTCATTCAATGTTGTAGGCAGTGGCAGGACTCAGATGAAAAGTGATAAGAAGGAAGAACCCAATGAGACCACATTTCCTGTGGGCACCGGTGAAGTTGATGACAAAACCATCCACAAGAGGAGCTATCGCAGTAGCAGTCACCGTAAGAACTCTTTGAACTTAGGGATGTCACCTGTAGTGGTTTCTCATTATTTTCAGGAAGACAAAGCTCCTGATGGTCAAGAGATGAATGAGAAGGAAAAGATTAAACTCGATCACAATGTTGAATCAAATATTAAATCAGTCAACTTAGATGTGAGTATACCGGATCGGTCTAATTCTTTGGCTCATATCATTGAGAGCGGTGGCAAGAAGAAGAAGAAGAGGAAGAAGGAAAGGGAGGAGGTGGAAGAAGGAAGTCAAAATAAGCATTGTGGAAAAACTCGGCAAATGCGCGTAACTTCTCCATATTTTCCAGAATTAATCGAAGAAAAGGACAGGCATGAGAAAGATATGGAGTCTGTTGACAAAGTTCCTGATGGTCTAGAGATGACTGAGAAGGAAAAGACAAAATTCAATCACAATGTTGAATCAAATATCAAATCAGTTAACTTAGATGTGAGTGTACCGGATCGGTCTAATTCTGTGGCACCTATCATTGAGAGCAGTGGCAAGAAGAAGAAGAAGAGGAAGAAGGAATGGGAGGGGGTGGAAGAAGGAAGTCAAAATAAGAATTGCAGAAAAACTCGGCAAATGCGGGTAACTTCTCCATATTTTCCAGAATTAATCAAAGAAAAAGACACGCATGAGAAAGATATGGATCCTGTTGACAAAGTTCCTGATGGTCTAGAGATGACTGAGAAGGAAAAGACAAAACTCAATCACAATGTTGAATCAAATATCAAATCAGTTAACTTAGATGTGGGTGTACCGGATCGGACTAATTCTTTGGCACACATCATTGAGAGTGGTGGCAAGAAGAAGAAGAGGAAGAAGGAAAGGGAGGAGGTGGAAGAAGGAAGTCAAAATAAGAATTGTGGAAGAACTCGGCAAATGCGGGTAACTTCTCCTTATTTTCGACAATTAATCAAAGAAAAAGACAGGCATGAGAAAGATATGGAGCCTGTTGACAAAGTTCCTGATGGCCTAGAGATGACTGAGAAGGAAAAGACAAAACTCAATCACAATGTTGAATCAAATATCAAATCAGTTAACTTAGATGTGAGTGTACCGGATCTGTCTAATTCTTTGGCACATATCACTGAGAGCGGTGGCAAGAAGAAGAAGAAGAGTAAGAAGGAAAGGGAGGAAGTGGAAGAAGGAAGTCAAAATCAGCATTGCGGAAAAACTCGGCAACTGCGGGTAACTTCTCCATATTTTCAAGAATTAATCAAAGAAAAAGACAGGTATGAGAAATATTTGGAGCCTGTTGACAAAGTTCCTGATGGTCTAGAGATCACTGAGAAGGAAAAGACAAAACTCAATCACAATGTTGAATCAAATATCAAATTAGTTAACTTAGATGAGAGTGTACCGACACATATCATTGAGAGTGGTGGTAAGAAGAAGAAGAAGAGGAAGAAGGAAAAGGACGAGGTGGAAGAAGGAAGTCAAAAGGAGTGTAGCAGGAATGAGACAAACAGGTTGGAATATGGTTCCGCTATACTGGAAACTAATTTTCCCATTTTTGCCACTAACAGTAACCACAAAGAAGACAGTGGGGGTGTGTTCTTGTTGGACAAGTATGAGGGCGATGGCAAGAATAGGGGAATGGATGAGGGCTGTAGCTCAAAGGACTTGAATTTGGTGGTAAATTTTCCATATCATCATAAGGGAGTTGAAGAAGAGATAACTGAGGAGGATGCGAAGAAGACTCATCCCAATTATCCGATCAAGGGGAAGATTAATACTTCTAATCTGGGAAATGATGGAAATGGTGCTGCAGTCAATATGGATGCGATTGAGGACTTGTTCTCTCAATTTATTTATAAGGGCAGTAGAAACACAAACAGAAGTGATGATGTGCATGACATGGATGTTCTGAAACCACAAAGTCTCCATCCTCATGTTGTGAAGGATGTGGAAGAGGAAAAGGATTTCAAGGAGGCCAAACAGAAGAATACAGAACCTGACTGTGTAGTTAAGAAGAAGATTGATCAATTCATTATCACCAATGAGTGTGAAAGGGGTTGTGCCAGTGTAGATGAGAATGAGGGTCTGTTTGTACCACACATGGATGAAAAACTGAAAGAAGAAAAGGGACAAAGAAATGAAACGGAAATCAACAAGGTTATGTCCAGTAGTAGAAGAAAGGATGGGGATGGTCAGAAGAAAGCATATGCAGAAGTTCGTGTGGGTTCTGGTTACTTTGAGACCTCAACAGGGAAAGAAATGGCACTGAGTGAGGGGAAGCATCTAAAATCTAAATCGTTAAAACCATCCGCAAAGAAGTGTCCCAAAGTAGTGACAGTTTCCCCCTACTTCTATAATGAATCAGCACGAGAGAATGATATTTCCAACGCATTCAAAAGTAAAGGTGAATGCAAAGTAGTGAAAGTACTGCCTAAAAGGGCTCAAAGGGCATCTGTGGATAAACCTGTTTTAACTGCTGCCCAGAAACGAGATGAGGCTTACCAAAGAAGAACTCCAGATAACACATGGATTCCTCCACGGTCCCCTTTCGGTCTCCTTCAAGAGGATCATGCCCATGATCCTTGGAGGGTCATAGTGATATGCATGCTTCTCAATCGGACAACTGGTTTGCAGGCAAGTTCTACCCTTCTTTTGTTTTCTCAACTTCATTTAATTAAAATAATTGCTTTCCTTGTCGTTGGTTCTTTTTCTTTTTCCCTTCTATTTGCTATATAATCTGTGCAGTAGGTACCTTGACGATAATTCTTGATAACTTTAGGAAACTTAAAAGATGTTTTAAATGAGATACTGAATATATATAATGGCTGTGAAAGTAATTTCTTATATTTTGTGAACCACTGAACTTGATAAGTTCACTGTTATTTCTGTTTTCTGTGGGTTACAAAGTTGACTGTTTGCTTTAATATGGTTATTGTTCAAACTGATAAAAGAGAGAGAGAGAGATGGAGAGAGAGAGAGAGATCATGGCTACAGCAACTGTGTATATCATATACATCATATAACCTAATAAGCCTATGTAGACTTATATAAAGAATACAAGGTTAACTAAATAACACAAGGGCCTACTAACTAAATATAATTACATAATGACCCAACATCTATATATATATATAAAAACATTCTAACACTCCCCCTCAAGCTGGAGAATATATATCAAATAATCCCACCTTGGAACAAATAGTTCTTAACTGGTTATGACCCAGTGCCTTGGTAAACATATCAGCTAATTGATCTTCAGACTTCACGAATGGAGTAGAGATGCTCCCAAGTAATATTTTTTCTTGAATGAAGTGACAATCAACTTCAATATGTTTGGTCCTCTTATGAAACACAGGATTTGATGCAATGTGAACTGCTGCTTGATTATCACAAAACAATGGATTAGGAGCTTCAACTGTTAATCCAAGTTGTTTTAGGAAATGTTGTATCCATGTCAACTCACTAGTGGTATGAGCCATTGCCCTATACTCAGCTTCAGCACTAGACCGAGCTACCACTGTTTGCTTTTTACTTCGCCATGTAACAAGATTTCTTCTTACAAATGTGCAGTAGCTTGTAGTAGATCTCCTGTCTGAAGGAGAACCAGCCCAGTCGGCATCTGTAAAACCTTCCACCCTAAGATGACCATTTGATTTATATAGTAAACCAAAACCTGGAGCTTGCTTGAGATATCGGATAATCCGAAGAACAGCAATCCAATGTGGCATTCTAGGGCCTCTCATGAACTGACTTACAATACTAACTGCATATGAAATATCAGGTTGAGTGATAGTGAGATAAATTAGTTTCCCAACAAGACGATGAAATCTGTCTGGGTCATTAAATAGATCACCTTCATCAGACACAAGTTTTATATTCGAATCCATAGGAGCATCAACTGGACGACCACCCAACATACCTGTTTCTTCTAATAAGTCCAACACATATTTTCGTTGGGATAAACTTATACCCTTCTTAGATCTAGTAACTTCAATACCCAAGAAATAGCTAAGTTTACCCAAGTCTTTAGTGTGGAATCGATATTGCAGAAACAACTTCAACTTAGCAATGCCTTCAGAATCATCACCTGTGATCACAATATCATCAACATACACCACAAGAAATATGAAGCCAGCTTTAGTGCGCTGGTGAAATACCGAATGGTCGGTCTGACATCTGTTAAGACCAAATTTTAATGCTGCCTCAGAGAATTTTCCAAATCAAACCCGTGGAAACTGTTTCAATCCATACAGGGCCTTTTTAAGGCGACAAACAGTGTGAAGATACTCCCCTGAGCAACAAACCCATGTGGTTGCTCCATATAAACCTCTTCTGCCAAATCACCATGCAAAAAGGCATTTTTAACATCTAACTGAAACAGAGGCCAATGCTTATTAGCAGCAAGAGAAATTAAAACACGAGTAGATGAAATCTTAGCAACAGGGGCAAACGTCTCATCATAGTCAATACCATAAGTCTGGGTATAACCTTTGGCAACAAGACATGCTTTTAAACGTGCAACGGACCCATCTAGAAGATACTTCACAGTATATACCCAGCGACAACCAATAGGTTTGGCACTTGGAGGTAATGGAACAAGATTCCACGTGCCATTCTGATGCAAAGCATCCATTTCATCTTGCATTGCTTTCTTCCAGCCCGAATCAGACAAAACATCCTGCACAGTCTTAGGAACAAATGTAGTAGACAACTGAGAGGAAAAACATGAGAAGGATGGCGATAAAGAATTTTAAGAGACATAATGAGCAATGGGATGATTAGTGACACACGAGCGAATACCTTTACGAAGGGCAATAGGCAAGGAATCAGACATAGTGGATGGTGTTGGATCCAAAGACTCTGAAGACAATGGAGGTGGCATAACAGTAGATGGCTTTGGTCTTCGAGTGTATACCTGTAACGGGGCAGGCGAAGGAGATCAAGGTCGAAGACATAGTGAGGGAAGAGAAATCGCAGGAAGAGGCGACTCAGGAGTGATATCAAGAATTGAATCAGGATCTGAAAAATATTGGATAGACTCACAAAAGGTTACATCCGCGCTAACAAAGTACCGTTGAGAAACAAGACTATAGCAGCGATAACCTTTATGAGAACGAGAGTAGCCAAGAAATACACACTTTGTGGCACGGGGGTCTAGTTTATCAAAACCAGGACCAAGATTGTGGACATAACATACACAGCCAAAAACTCTAGGAGTAAGAGAAAACAAGGGAGAATTAGGAAATAAAATAGAATATGGAGATTTGCCATCTAATACAGAGGAAGGCATACGGTTAATAAGATGACACGCAGTAAGAACAACATCACCCCAAAACCGTTTAGGCAGACGCATATGAAACAAAAGAGCACGGGTTACCTCTAAAAGGTGTCGATTCTTACGTTCTGCGACTCCATTTTGTTGAGGAGTATAAACACAAGAATTTTGATGAATAATTCCTTTATCACTAAGATATGTATCAAAGGGGGTTGCAGAATATTCCTTAGCATTATCAGAACGTAGAATACGAATTGGGCATCCAAACTGAGTTTTGATTTCTTTTCGAAATTTTTGAAAAATTAAAAATAACTCAGAACGATCTTTCATTAGAAACAACCAAGTCAGGCGAGAATAATCATCCACAAATTTCACAAAATAATGAAATTTATTGATTGAAGAATGTTTTATTGGACCCCATACATCTGAATGAATCAAATGAAAAGGACTAGAGACACGATTATTAACCCTAGACTTGAAAGACACGCGATGGTGCTTACTAAGTTGACAAACTTCACATGACAAAAATTTTAAATGACTAAGACTAGGAACTTGACGCTTCAAAACTTGAAGTGACGGGTGACCAAGCCGACAGTGCCACTGGAATGGAGACAAAGAAGATTGAAGAGCCACAGGATAAGGTTCCAAATCAAAGTAATATAAGCCACCAGCTTCATGTCCTGTACCAATCATCTTCTTCGTCTTGAGATCCTGAAACACACAAGAAGTAGGATAAAATGTAACAGAACACTGGAGTGATTTAGTAAGCTTACTGATAGACATTAAATTAAAGGGAAACTGAGGAACATATAAAACAGACGAAAGAGACAAGGAATCACTAAGTTGAGTTGACCCCAAACCTCAAAACCATAGTGGACGAACCAATAGCAAGAGTGACACTTTGGTTTCAGGTTCGAAAACACTATGGTTTCAGATTTTGATTTCCTCTCAAAGTGTCACTCTTGCTATTGGTTCGTCCACTATGGTTTCAGGTTTGGGGTCAACTCAACTTAGTGTTTTCTCGACTTCAGCAAGAGATGGAAGTGTGGGATTGCCCATAATCTGTGCACGAAAAGACTCATAGATTGATGACAAACCAGTAAGAAAACGGACAACATTAAATTCCTCACGTTGTTGTTGCATACTACGAACATCAGCGGTAATGTGCTAATACATATTCAGCTCCTCACAGACTCCCATAACTTTGGAATAATACTCTTCTATAATGTGATTACCTTGTTCAAGACTGAAGTACTGCTTACAGAGCTCATAAACACGAGTGATATTACCTGTCCCAAAATACAATTGTTGCAATTTGTCCCATATCTCCTTGGCAGTGTCTAAATAGAGTAAGGTTGAACTGATTTGAGGTTCAATACTGTTTAACATCACGAGATGATCTGAGCATCTTCCTTTTCCCATGTATCAAAAGAAGCATCAGTGGCCTTGAGTTTTCCTTTAGTCAGATGAGTACCAAGACCTCTACCCTTGAGAAAAATAGCAACAGATTTAGCCCACAGTATGTAATTCTTCCTATTGAGTTTAACTGAAGTCATAGAATGAAGATGGGATGTGGAAGAAAGCAAATCTGAACTGGAAGCCATGATGAACTCAGCAAAAACAGAGAAGAAGAAAAAAAAAATGCAGACTATGTATTCTGGCCGAACCTGGGAAAACAGGTCGGGTCTGAAAAACGGGCTGGGTCTGGTCAAACGGGCCGGACCTGGTCAACTGGGCCGGATCTGGGCTATCCCAGGTTTAGTAAACCAGGGTTAGAATAGCTTCACTCCTGCAGCCAAACACCACCCTTCTCCTTCACAATTCTCGCCGGCCACCGACAAGAAATTCCAGCACCCAAGATTCGCAATGGAAAAACAAGGCTAGTACACACCCTAGCCCTTGCAGCGGTGACGGCAACCCAACAAAAAAAAAAGCGATCTAACAACGGAGCGGAGATGGATCGCGATGATGGAACCTCTGCAACTTGCGACAGCCAAGGAAGCCTTGGCCAGCAAAACGAAAGGCTTCAGATCTGAGAACGACAGATAAGAAGCGCTGAACACAACGACAGCTTCAAACCTCCGGCTCTGAACAAAATGGCGGCCAAATCTTCAGCAAAGAACAGAATCGGCTTCGATCTTGATTTCGATTTGTAGAAGAACAACCCAGATGCAATCACAACTACAGTCTTAGGTTCCCGTTGTTTCGTACCGCTCTGATACCATGTTCAAACTGATAAAAGAGAGAGAGAGATGGAGAGAGAGAGAGAGATCATGGCTACAGCAACTGTGTATATCTTATACATCATATAACCTAATAAGCCTATGTAGACTTATATAAAGAATACAAGGTTAACTAA